AATTTCGAGGTTGTTCAGTCTAAATAACTTCTAGGGGTTGCTTGACCGTATATGCTTTCATTGGAGTTAGAAGTCTTGTTGCTGAATACTTTGAAAGAGAAAAACTTGTGAGTTGTGAAATGCTATGGGAATATATAACGTAGAAGTTTATCTCGCATGTTGAATTTAAATAAACCATTTAAATTAGAGGTGTTTGTTATTTTTGAAATGAATGTATTAAACTGGTAATTACTTCAAGCCTTTTGGTTTTTTAAAGTTTCGTTAGTTATTGTTTCAGATTTGCATTCTTTTGATTTCGGATAGTAACAGAAATTGAGTTGGATCTGTCGATGTCTTTTTTTTCTACAGTTTTATTAGTTGATTTTATTCCGACAGATGGCGCAACCCATTAGGAAATGTTACTTACACGATCAGGAGATGCCTTTTTCTTTGTTTATCCATCTGTTCCCAGTACAATTTTACTTTTGTATTATTTTATTTTATGTTATGGTTTTTATTTTCAAAGGTTTATATAAATAAGAAAAAAACAATATCTTGTGAGAAAGTAAATTTTATTCTTCTCTTGCATATGACAAAGTAAATATTAGTTATCTCTTGGACACATATCTTCCTTTTGATTTATATTCAAATTCCTAATGAAAAAGAATAAAAAACTTCAACACTGTGTTAAAACAAATATAGCACAGAACTTACTTATGAATGTTGTTTTCTAATATGGAGTATCTTTTATACTGGGAATCACACACAACAAAACAATATCCACATAAACACACACAACAACCACATAAACACATAAAAATCAGCAAACAACACACACATCAACACACACAACATAAAACAACACACAACAAACACATAACAAACACACACACATCGCCTGGAAATCAAACCCACAATGTTCCGCTTACCGGGCAGATGCCATGTCCACTAGGCTACCCTGGACATATTTTTCCGTTCGTAAATATTATATAAAGTAATTTAAAATACAATATAACGCGGCTGATGATTGTAAAACGAAAATTGCAATTATACCGCGAATGTTTCTTTTAAAAATCTAAATTTATTTTAAAGAGAAATAGCGATTATTTATAACTTTAAGGATGAAGTATGATAGGATGAAGTGCGAAGAGTAATGATAAACGGAAAAATAAAAGTGTCCAGGGATGGGAATCGAACCCACTGTGTTCCGCTTACCGGGCAGATGCTATGTCCACTAGGCTACCTTGGACGCCTGGAGACGGACACTATCGCGGCGATTACCTGGCTGACTGTATATAAATTTATCGATGTAATTTTTATTCTGTAAATATTGACTGAGAAGTCAATAAATATGTTTTGGCATTTTAACACACACAAGACAATAAACAACACGCACATCAACACACACAACAGAACATACACATACAACATAACACAACACCTACAGTCCTGGATCTTCGGGACAGGCCTGATTGAAGACGAACTGGCCATTCTCGCATCGACCAAAGCAAGAATTCTTCGATACTTCGTCCAGGTCGGGATGCATGAGAACATCGAGGACCCCGTCATCGCCTGGAGGCGGACCCCTGTCGCGGTGGGGTAGAACATAATCTTCATTGTAAATAATCCTTTCCTAATCTCTTCATAATGTAAATATTGACCGAGTTGTCAATAAAAATGTTTTAATTGTCACACATAACACACACATCAACACACAACAACAGAACACACACAATATAACACAACACACAACATAAAACAACACACAACCCACACACAATACACCACAACCTGTCTCATCCCAATAAAATCAAAAGGTTATCGGATGAATAAAAGAATTCCAGAAGTTTCAGCAACAATCCAATAAACAGTGGAATGTGTTGGAGGTAGTTTAAAGAATCCACGGAAAAAGTCGTCGTTAAATATGCACAGTGGTTAATAATTCAGCAGTACTCGGGGCCGCGAGGTTTAAATTCCATTTAAAGCTTCCGAGGGATGAAGGATTAGGTAGGGAGCTTAAATATTTAAAACCTCTCTCTGTACATGGGATTAATAACTTGTTCAAATGTACATTCCATATTTAGAAACTTCACTACTTCAATTGAATACATCTTTTGATTGATTCAATATATTGCCACATTCAATTCAGAATAAATGTTTATTTTCATGAGAATATATTCTCTCGAGGGCAACATATTGATCTACAATACACAGCAGTGACAATTGACAATTGAAACAAATTTATTGACAACTCAGTCAATATTTACAGAATGAGGAAGAGATCACAAAAATAATTTGAGAAAATAAAAAGATAGCGAAAATCCGTGTTCGAATCAGGTACATCAGGTTCTAAAGTCTAAAGCTTTCGCAGCTAGGCTATTTTGCCTTATTGTATAGTAATTTAAAGAAGAATTAATATTTACCAATTTATATTCAGGCGGGGAGTCTTTCCCACCGTACAAGTGTCTTCTTCCAGGCGATGTCCTCAATTCCACCACCCAGCCTCACCTGCACGAAGTACCGATAAATTCGGCACTTTGCTGACGCATGGATGGCCGTCGTCCTCCTGTCCAGTCCCGATACTCAGCATTGGTAAAACTGGATTTATTGTGTTTACACATATACAATACTAGCCGAATGACCCGGGCAACGCCCGTGTTTTTACCCGATTGAATTATTTTATTCAAATACTATTTGTTACAATTATAAATTGGCGCCTTAAATAAATGCATATATTAGTTAATAACTATAGCCTATGTGCTTTATCTGTCTATGTACTGTTGGCTTCCGTAGGCGTCTCTTACTGGGAAAAAGAAAGAGAGGATTCCATTTGGTTATTAACTAATATATGCATTTATTTAAGGAGCGACCCGCTCCAACACAATGGTTACAAAAACGAAAAAGCGAGCGGGGGGGGGGACAAAGGTGGCGTGTTCGTAGCCAACCAATAGAAGGGCGCCATTCCAAAAAAAAAAAAAAGCAAACGGTGACAGAGATGACTGATTAAGAATGACGCTCGTAACTGTATATAGAATATCGCGTTGGAAATTTCAGAAAAATATGTTAAACTTTTTAATCAACTCTTCCGAAAAAGGTTTCTTTTCCAAATTTATTTTACAGTAGAACTTGGATAGAATTCGAAAACATCTTTAATTCAAATATTTATCTTGGCCCCTAGACTTTAAGCATTTCATTCAGAACGTTTTCAATTCGAAATTTCGAATAATTCGAATTTTCTTTGGTTTTTTGGTCTTCAAATTATTCAAATTCAACTGTAATTAGCAAGATTTCGAGATTTCTGTTTGATTTTTGATCATGTTGAGGATTATGGTAATGCAGTCGTGGTTAAATATTTGAAAGTATAATAACAAAAATGGTTTTGATCAGAGGTTGCTTTAATTGAACTAAAGTAATATATAAGAGCATAATTTGATTAAAGTACTGCCTGGCTTAAGCCGAGTAGAACAAGGTAAAACAAAAGATTATATTTACATAATGTACAAAAGTTTTGAGCCGGCTATTGGGATAAAACAACAACGAGTTTTTATAGGGAAAGCATGACCTCTGGTGGTCGATGTAACAATATTTGAATCTATGAAATTATAATTTGAAATAAAATAATATTTTTATATAACATACATACATTCCATATATATATTTGGATGAAATACTCGTTGAAGAGTTTTTACTCTCGAAAAAAGCTTACTAATCATAATAAATTTGGAAGATATATCTTTTGCGGAGTAGATGATTAAATATTTAACATATACAATAGTATGTTAGTTTAGGATACCAACTAACTATGAAAGTTTACATTTAATTTTGGCATTTCTGTTTCTTATATGGATGGCTTCACGATTTTACGTGTCATTCTCACGAAGGGGTAATACTAAACTTCTCTATATCGTTCAAATTGTAGTAGTTGTACAGCCGAACAAGCGTGTTTATCTTTCTTATATCGTAAATACTTATATCTTATATATACTTATATACTATATATATTATATAATCTAAAATACAATTATTTTATTTTTTTAAAAACATATATTTTATTTTCATTCATTGACTGTTTTACATATTTGACCATAGATGCAGAACATACCACTTTAATTATTATTGTTGTAAATATGTATAGTTAACCCTACCTTTTCTAATAAAAATCACAAATATAGAATTCATTTTATAAATTTTATATTACTGTGATAAAAATAATTTTATGTGTAATTTACTTCAAGTAATTCAAAATAAAATCTACTTGAAAGGTAAATAATTATCTTTACTTTTTACGACTGCACTTCTTTTCAACAATCAAACACAAAAATAATTCTAACACAATATATATATTTTTGAAAATAAAGCAATCCATATTTAATTCATTATATAATAAAAAGGCATATATTGGATTTCATAAAATATTTATTTTGCCAATATTTCGACTGGCTGAACGCCAACCTTTATCGAGACATTACATTTTTCTATACACAAACTCAGCGCCGCATAGTGTTATAATATCACACTAGGAGACAGAGTCAATTTTTTTCACACTTGGTTATCTGGTGTGTTTTCATTAAAGGTCACTATATATAAAATCTTTCAGAGCTATTGTCTGAATCCCGTTGTTTGATGTTTATATGTTAAATTTGTAATTATTCTTATTTTTTGTTAAAATCAATAAGCTTGAGGGATAAGGTACTTATTTGAAAGATACTTATCCCTCAAGCTTATTGATTTTAACATTCTATTAGGGGATTAGCCTATTGATTCTTATTTTTCAATTCATAGAAGCATTTTTCTGGCAGACATATTCATTTTTTTTTTATCATCATCAGCTTTTTTTTTTCAGTTAGTTAACAAATCATCTTGTAATTGTAGTTTCTTTTTTTTTTGTTTTGTTGCGTTCCTTTTAAAGCAATAAAATATATGTAGAAACTAAGGTGTAATATTCAATTCAAGCATATGGAATCAACATCGATTCATTTTTAAAACAAAGCAAAATCTTTCACTTTTTCATACACCCGTTATACATGCTAAAATGTATAAATTCCTTAAGTTTTGTTAATGAGTGTATTTATAAAATTATAATTACATAGAAATCTAAATTTAAAAAGTATATTTGATAAGAAAATATTAATTATAATATTATTATTACCCTTCCAATGTATTACCTTCCCTGTAGTTAATTAAATCAAATAATAATTAGTAAAGCGGTTCGTTCTTCGTAAATTAAATCAAAGTGTAATTTAAAGTAAAGCAATTAAAGATCGTCTGATGTACCAGACGAAGATTGTTAAATAATTCACCGAGCGGGAGAAGAGGATTTGTCCTTGCAAATGTCCCAATGACAAGTCTGAATACAAATCACAGTATCGAGTCTGCTGCCCAGAGCGCCCCCTGTGTAGTCATGTCGCTTGCTGTGGGAGCCATGAAGGGCGCCGTGTTCTCCAACGGACAGAATGGCCCAGGGTAGGTTTTTTACCTTTTAAACTACTCATCTACCCTTCAAACCTATACCCAATACCTTCTTTACAAGTTGACCGAGTTTCGATAACTTTTTACTAACTTTTAGTTTTACCAAACGAACTTTTTAAACAAGTTTTTTAATCGCTTTTCTTTATTTATTTGTTTCACAACACATTTTTTTTTGTTTTTCTAATCTTAAAATATAATTATCATACATATTTTATAATATCGGATATAAAGAAGAGTAAAGATATTAATTATTTCAGTAATTATTTATTAATTAGCGGAAAATAATGTAAAAAAAGTTAGAGAAGGTATGATAAAAGTTATATAAAAGTTTGATATATTAATTTCTAATAATCTCTAGAGAAGTTTATCAACTTTCTTGAAGTTTAACTTTTAGAGTTCCAAGATGGCGGCCACCTTAAAGTCCTTCAACAGCTAAGACAACCTCAAACTTTTAACTAAATTTTGTCACAAGTTTTTTTATTCACGTTTTTCTCATAGA